AAAACCTAAAAGTGATTAAGCATGCTTTGGCTTATCTTAAAACTTAATATTTTAAGGTAAGAAATCCAATTGCTAATAGCTTTAAGTTACTCTTGGTTCGATAAAACATCACATAAAATGCTTTCTTGACGTTTTATCTCCATTGCCACGACATCTAAGGACTCCTTACTGATATCGTTGAGTCTAACCAAAACTAACGTGTATACATTGCCTTTCTTTGGCAAGCGCACCAACATACCTTACTTTCCTAGGAAAGTAGTAATGATGTACTTTGGCACAACCCATTACTATTCTCATTAAATCCATAAGTGTCATTTTGGAATGGAAAATTTAACTCAATTTTCTTTGGGACTTAGGGTTTCTATGTTGGTTGATTTAAGTGAACTAAACTAATCATTCCATATTCAAAATCCTAAACATGCATCTAACATCGCAATTATATAAGCAAAATCTATAAAGCATAATTAAAGATGCATTTGGCAACTAGCATGACCCCTTGAACTTGAGTCTTCAAATCTTCAAGGGCCTTCGTTGCATCCTCTTGGCTCGTCTACTTAGAAACGCCGTTTTCGAGACATCACCACCAATTATGCAACTACTAATAAGACTAGGACTAATTTAAATATTAAGGTACAAAAAAAACGCAACGGTACACAGACCGTATTTATATTTACAAAAAAACATAACGGATCACAGTCCGTATTTGCTATCCTAGTCGGGCACCACTAGTTGCCATATTGTAAAACCGCATTATAATATCTATTCCATTCATCCATTCACTAACGTGAATGGCCCATGCATTTTACAAATAATTCAAGCAATAAAGCAAAACACGCTCAAACTAGTAACTGACTTAGGTGGTTAATCCAATTAACGCGCCTAATTAAAACTAGTCAAGGTTGTTAACCGATTATGTGATTAAACGCAATAAAATTCGCTTTAATAATTAATGAAGCTCCAACTAAATTCCACATATAACTTAATTAAAATCAATCCAATTAATATAATTAAGCCGATTTACCGAAAATTTGCAAAAATTATTTTGTAAGTGCTGGGAAAAACCGAGGCCTAGCCTCGTTTCAATAATTAAATAAAATAATCAAAAACGAAAAAATCGTAAAAATCGCATAGCCCATCAATGCTCGAGTGCCTAGCACCAAGCAACGAGGCTTGGTTTGTTAGGCTCGAGCCTCGGCTCTTGCGTGGCTATTGCCCCTACACAGCCACTTGCTGCGCCAAGCATGTGCATGCGGCTGACATCATCGCACCATGTGCGTCATGCTGGCCGCATAAGCATGCTTGCAACGCCAATAAGTAAGGCCCTCAAAGGCCTACTGTTATGCAAGCTCGTGCTGCCGTAGCCGCACAACGCAGCCAATGCATCACACCAATGCTCGCACATACACGCACTCGCGCACACATCGATGCACAAACCACACTCCTCGACAGCCACGTGCGGGCTGCGCAAGCAACCTAGCTGGCCGAGAGATGTGTTTGGGGCTTCGTGACTCGATTTGCATGCTTGTGCCTCGGGATTTTATCCCAATTTTTCGTGTGACATAAAATTAATTCTAAATTATTTTTAGAACCAACATTGAGCAAAAACAAAAATAAAACAAGTCCAACTTATATAAATTCAATTTTTAGTGCACAAACCAAAAATTAATTCAAGAACCATTCTTTAAATTATTTTTGGCCCAACTTGATGCTACAAAAATTGAGGGCTATTCTCACAATTAATTTAACCAATCATAAATTAGTAATGAGATTTGACAAAATAAAAGAAGTTGGAAAAATAAGAACAATCATCCAATAAAAAAATTTCCAACACTAACTTGTGTAAACTTGAAAAAGTTACGTCATTCCAATACGAAGAATAATCAATTTCATCACAAGTTTGAACTTTTTAAGACTTTAATCAACTCAAAATGATTAAAATCAAAAATTAGTTCAACGTGGAATTTAGAAGGTTAAGTCAACCAAATAAACAATTAAAGGTTGGATCTTTAACATTTTAGGGGCTTCAAAAATACAAATTCACCATAAACACACACTTAAAGCAATTAATTCGCAAAAATGTGAAATTGCAAGTTTATGTGAAAAATAAACTCACCAAATTAAGCACTAAATATGACTTCATAAGTATGCTTAATAAGAATTATTAATGTAGTAGATTAATGGTGTAACCATACACATAATCTAACATTAACATGCCATAATTAATCAAAGTTTAAAGATTTAAAAATTTTCGTCGAAAACGAAACACCCCTCAAAAAACATGTTTCTGGGTGGATTTTGGCTTCTAAAGCAATCACAAAGTGGCACAAAAACGATTTAGAACCACTAGTAGAAAAAATGAAATAAGCACCGCACAATCCGCACCGGTTTTTGAAAACATCGATTCCACCCAAAATTACCTAGTTTTGGGTCGAAATGTGCATAAATATGAGATTAAACTAATTTAAATGAGCTTCTAATCCAATTAGAAAGCAAAACCAGAAATTTAAATTCATTTAAATCGCCTTAATTAATTATTAGTTACAATAATTAAATGCACGCGGCTTCGAAACCGCTGTTAGGTTTCACGATGTCTAATATCACGTGGAAGGAAACCGGCCCAAAATCCGCACACCAATTAAAGTAACTAAGCATGTAATAAAAACATAATCACATGATTAACAAGAAGAGAGAGAAAGAATCATTACCCTTAAAGCGTGCTTCGCTCTCACTTAGAGCTCAGACTAGAAAGCGTAGAGTCCCGCAAATGCACGAACTTTCTACGGCTAACACCCTTGCTACCGAACCGAGCCGGCCCTTACCCCGAAGCTTAGTCGAGGCTAGGCCAAAAATAACATTGAGTATTAGAATAAAGGTTTTCTCTTCTTGGAGATCCCTTAATGTTCACCAACTCAAGTGCTCTTTCCCAATGCCAATTGATTGGTATTATAGGGAAAGGAGCCCTTGCAATCCCATCTCCCGTGAATGTGGGAGAGTTGGAAAAAATGCAAAATAGAATTTAATTTAATTCTAAATTGAATCAAATAGCCAAATGAATCACCAAATGACAAGTGGCATGAGGAGAGCAATGGGTTAGGTGAGGACCACAAGGGGAGGACCACCTTCCCCTTGCTCCCCAAGCAACCCTCAAGAAACCGGTCCTCACACACAACCCAACCACCGCACACCAGCTAGCGCTAGGCCTTGCGCACCAAGGCACACCCAATTGGTGGCCTGGTGCTAAGCTGGCCTGCCAGCATGGCTGCGTGTGCGTGTAGCTCAGGAAGCATGCTATGCATGCATGCGAGCTGCTGCTGGGCGTGCTGGCGCTGCTACCGCAAGCTCTTGCGAGTTGATGTTGTCGTGCTGCTATCGCTAGCCATGCCTAGCTAGCTGTAGCTATCTCGCGTAAGGCCCAACTAGCATTTGCGTGCTGCTAGCTTTACTAGAGATGGTGCGTGGATGGTGCTAGCATGCAATGCATGCGTGCCAGCAATGCTGGCCTTGCTGCACTAGCTAGCTAGCTCGCTCGCATTCTGCAGCCTTGGTAGCGATATTGCTCTAGCCCTCGGTTGGCTCGGCCATTCTGAGACTAGGGCTATATGTTATGACTTGTCGTTTGGCCGATTTTCCCGTCTCGTCTTTTACTAAATTCGACTCGACTTACGACGCTCGGTTTTGACGCTCTAAGCTCGAAATCCGACGTCTTTGTTCGTAAATACTCTATTGACACATTTAATCTTTCGGATTAATTCGTCGTTTCGGTTCAATTACATGATTGGGTGTGACCCGAAGAGTTTAGTCAAGATTAAGCTGTAATATTAATTATTCATTAATATTACTGATCGGAAGCGGCCTCCAGCTAAGCATTCCGATCACTTGACCTCACTGAATAATTAGCTTTCTAATTAATTCCAAACCCTCTATCGAAATAATACACTTGTTCGAAGGACACTATTCCTTTAAGGCATCGTTTGGGTCCAAAAATTCAATCAGACATCATTACATGTAGTAGATGTATTTTATGCATGTTACAATTTTATTCATACAAGTCACATTTATTAGGGCACCGTTTGGGTCCAAAATTAGCATTTCATCCGTTTTTATCTACGTGCAACACGGCCTTGTAACACACACTTTGAAGTCGAGATTATTTTATGTAAACGGACAATTTACTCAATACAATTATTACACATGATACCTAACTCTTCTCTACTACTTGTATTACAATTATTTTCATTAAATCGCTCACTTGGGTTAACTAATCACCTCTTCAAATGTGTATTACAACTATTTTCATTAATGTTTACAATGCATGACTAATTTATTAAATACTAAAAAGTAAAGGCATTTTAGGTATTTTCGATGGACATCAACTCCTTATTAGTTGACTTATATGATAGTGGTACCCCTAAATCAAAGTAGGCAAAAATTAATAGATTACAATACATCGAAAGACACATTAATAAAATAGCGGGTTTTGTGTGTGGCTGGCCACACCGTATGGCCAGTTAACACACAAGTAACCCCTAATCGACCTAGTAACCCTCGACCAAGATCGAGTAATTTCCAACCAAGAAATAGGGGTTAAGAAAAGAAAAGGAAAATGGATGTGTCGTAGCTACTACAGATATTCGGGCTGGGTATTGCCGGCGCCGTATTCGGGGCGGGTTGGTGGTTTTGGGTAAACGCCGTGGTTTGCAGTTCCATCGCCGTCTCTTTCATCCACTATCTTCCTAGTTATCCATCCTCTCTCTCTCTCTTCATTTTCTCTCTCCTCGCTCTCTCACTCTTCAACAATCACTGATTTTTGCATCTCTTAGCTGCTTTGATATTGAATTGTGTCAGGAAAGAGAAAGAGGTGTTCAATTGATGTTCAATTCTTTCTCTTCAACAATCACGATGAAGGTGAGTGGAGGTCTAGAGGAGAGAGAAGATTGACTTGTGTAAAAAAAAAAATATTGGTTGGCCACACGGTGTAGCCAGCCACATATAAAAATTTGTGTTAATCAAAATTATACAGCATGTAAAAATAAAAAGATTACAGTGATGTTTACGACCAAGACAATCAATTAAGTCAATCAACACCAGTAACACTAGACCATCAATCTAACGTTCTATCTATCAGTCTATCACCGTCCATTGCACATCTTCGTGCACACATTTTTACAATGTACAAAACACAAATTCCTGAGATTTTCTAGCCTTCAAAAACTATGAGAAAAAGTTAATATTTAGTACTGTAAGAAATTATGCTGATCTTTTACCCCGTACCCCCATCACTTCGGGACGATTTAAGTAGAGCTGAAATAACTACAGTGAGGTCGTGATAAGCTGAAGGTGTTTCACGGGGTTCAATATCCACGACAATAGAATCGTTCCATTATTGTTGACCGTGCATCATCATCACCATGTAATGACATCTTCATGGGTCTAAAGCAGGCACATCACCATCCAAGCTTCGACGTTTTTTCTTTCCCTCACCATGTCTTGACCTCCTAGGAGCCTCATCCTCACTTTCGCTGTCATCATTTGTGAGATTGTTTCGAGAGACAAATTTTTCAGCACCTTGATTTGATGAGTCATCACCACGTCCACTCATATCCTGCAACTTCCCTTGATCTAGACCTGATCCAAATGTCTCACCCCAATCACTACCTGATCCTCTAATATCCCTCTTAGGACCCCGATTGCCACCTTGAGGTGGTCCAGGCTGGGAAGGAAAGATAGGAGGCATACCCATTGGTCGACCACCTCTCCCACCGATACCCATTCCTCCGGGCATGAATGGAGCACGCCCAGGGCCCATCATCATCCCAAACCCACCACCAGGATGTACCCCTCCAGGTTGTGAAGGCCGACCAGGAAACATCATACCAGGTGAAGGATTTGTAAATTCACCGGAGAACCTTGGGCCGTAGGGCACGAAAGGACGAGGACTCATGCCAAAAGGATCAGGCATTGGAAAGTTGTCAGGTCCAGGTCCATAGTTGAAACCATCCACCCCCATCATGCCAGGAGGAAAGCCCCGCATCCCAGGCATGGGACGCATACCTCCACGACCCATGGGAAAATTTGGTGGCCACATCATCCCTCTTCCCCTTCCTCTGCCTTGAATAGCAAGACTCCCAGGTGCCTGACCAAAACTCTCGTCTTCTTCTTCACTTTCTTCCTCCTCTTCCTCCTCTTCATTGTCCTCAAATGGAACTATGTCTGGATTCTCAGCTCCATTTTCTATGTCAACTCCTTTCGCTTTCTCTTCTTCGCGTTTGGATTCAGCTGCAACTAGAGTCGCCTGACAAATTTTACAAGAATTTGAGAAAACTGTGAGTTCATGCAAAAAAGAACAAATAAACAATTTAAAAATCTTATTAAATAATTAGATAAGCTGAAGCAAACATGGTACTGACACAAACTGCAAGTAAATATAGATTAAAATAAGTAAAGGACACTCCTCTGTATTACACATAATTTATTTATTTATTTATTTTTATTTTTTTTTACAATAAATTGATTTTTAAACTTGAGGAATGTAATATCAATATCCAAATCAGATATCACAGTTGAGCATATGAAGTCTAAAGTGTCTCTCCGGAACATTGCCAAATAGAGTATCAGATTTCATTGTTCTTCTTGTGAGTTTAGGGTGTAATTATTCCATACTCTACTACAAACTAATGCAGTCTTGCAGCATATTTTATTCCTTTGTCTACAATTAAGTGAATCTAATCAAGACCAAGATCAAAACTAAAAGTTGATGAACTCCCTCGAGGAAAATGACACAATACGAAAGAGGGTAGGAAAATTTGTCAAAATTAATCTACAATGGACATTGTTTTTCTAGTAGGGAATTTTATACTGTAAAAAATGATATTTGCTAATTAGATATTTGAACTGTCTTCCTTATACATTTCAATAAATGAATTACCATTAATAAAAAATAATATAAATTAAAAAGCCAAAGAGTTCCATAAATATTCAATGCACTTCTAATGTGCCTAAAGAGAATTTTAAACCATATAGAGTTGCAAAACTGTTATTTCGGAGTAATTTTTAATTGCAAACAATATCTTCATCAATGAAAATGCTACTGCAGTAATTTGGCAAGAAGGGTGAAATAAGGAAGAATAAGAGGACGGGAGTGGGATAAAACAGATGTACTGTTTGAAAAAGTGCAGTTGAGGCACAGCTGTCTTTAAGATTAAAAAGGTCTGTAAAGCATGTTCAATGGGACGCACTAAGGCACTGTAGCTGCATCATATTACCAGAGCCCATCATATGCAGCCTGTTTTCACACACATGATACCATCTATAATACCCTACGTCAACATGAGCCCACTCTGATAGAGTGATAGTTATTATTGTATTAGGGGAACTCCTGAAGTTGTTCTGACCACCCTCTAGGTTGCCAAAACTCGATCCCACTTCCATTCCCTACTACTACTACTAGCTAAATTTCTCCTTGTTTCTAAATTTTAATTTTAATTTAGCATCATGCACAAAAGATTAATTAGCTAAATTTAGCATCATGCACAAAAGATTAATCAGCTAAAGCACTTAAAATGTGGCACATTAAACACTTTAGTTAATTATAGGATTTATCCAAGAGTGACTTGTTGTGATGGTAGTTGCATGATTAAGGGAGACCTTGAAAAGGCTCTTTATCATAGGAATATAGGATTTATCTTTTCCCTAGTTTGAACTGACCATAAGTGACAGATTGAAAGCTGAATTATTTTTATCTTTTCAGCAAAATTTAAATTTAACACACAAGGCACAACTAGGGATAGAAATGGTCTGAAAAGGAGGGATTGGAACACCATAGATAGTACCAATGATAGATTTTATGTTCTGCAGTTTCTGCTTCATCATAGGAACCGAAGTACAAGATAGAAAACCTTCGGTTCTCTTTCAATGGTTACAAAAAGTGTTACAGCAGCAGGAATTATTAGTATTTGTTATTCCATTTTCAATAATAGCATGTCACATATTCTCCAAACTTTTACCTTAGCAACAGGACAATACTATAATGCTCTTTTGTCTTAGATAATTCGCTGAAAAAGATCGCTGATTAGTATCATGTATATCATTCTGGATCAGTAACCTGGGTCTGAAAAAACTGAATCCTTAACCTTGACAAAATTGGGTCCGCATGTCCATATATCTCTTATAGATCAATTCTCTATATATCATTAATGTTCTCCCACAGCCATTTAAGCATTTAATAATACCCATATGAAATTATGAAATAAATTTGTATGAGAAATCTCTGCTTCCAACATCAGAAAAGAAATATACATTATGGATGGTTCCGAGTCAACCCACAGCTGATATGGAAAATTAAGGTCTCAAATAAGACAATATCAGAAACTCCATCAGCTCACGTTAATTCATTCCAGACTAAAATGTTGTATTAACTGGGTTCATGTGTCCATCTAGGCTTCTATTATCAGTTTTCGGTACATCTAATATGGTCTTCCCAACTGAGATTACAGGATCCACAGATCATATGACATGAGATTCTCAATAGAGAAGAGATGCAATATTTTCAGGTGCTTAAGTAATTCAACGTTGAAATTTTAGAAAAATAAAATAACAATTTCATGGTGAAACCATATAAACAAACATACCATAAGTTCACCGTCAGGTTCAAGATAAAGCAAGGAAGCCAGCTGCTCCCCAACAGAAGGCTCAAGCTCCTGGCAATCTCTACTAATCTGAAACAACAATTTAAAACCGGAAATAAGGAATTTTAGAAATTCCCACAATCCAAAACCATACATACAAAGATTTCAAAGAAAAGACTAAATTTTGACCCTTTTGTTCAAAGTTTAGTTATTAATTAACTTAATAAGATTGCATTTGCCTTCTTGTAACTTTAAATTTTTGTTTGTTTTCAGAATTTGGTTAATTCCCAATATGTTATATTTTGTGATTCCAAAGGAATAAATTAGTTCGCTGAGAGATTATAAAAACTGTTGAGTTATTACTTGAAACAATCAGAATAAAACATAATTTAATACATTAGATTGGTGACAATGGAACAGATCATTGCACCCTCCATCCCATAAAGCTTTAAGCACTTTTGCTGGGCACATAGTTATAGGAATTTTTGTATTGGGCTACTAAAAATATTTTTGGAAATCCCAACTTTCACATATTCGCTTTAAATAATCCCAACATTGATTATTTTAAAATAATCCGTACTTTGGGGTGTATTTGCTTTTATTGGTCCTGAGTGACTAGTAACCTGTTAAATAGGTTTTTTTTTTTACGGACACGTCCCAGCACGTAATTGGTCAAAAATAAAATTAAATTTATAAAAAATATAAAGAGGAAAATAAAAAAATAAAAAATAAAAAAAAACAAAAACAAAAATACCCCAGCCACACCACTTCCCCCAACCACATCTCCAGCAGTTCCACCCTCCCTACCCCCACCAAAACCAACCCATTCCCAACCACCAAAACCACCCACACCACCCAAAATCGTCCTCCTTGCCAACACACTAACAAGACCGCCCAAATTCCCACCCCTAGTCCCCAAAATAAAAAAAATACCCCTCCCCCTTTCTCTCTTTCTTTCCGACTTTCTCTCTCCTTTTTTTATTATTTATTCTCTCCTGTTTGTTGTTTCTTTGATGATAATTGCCGTGGATGCAAACTTCGACGAGATGTAACGGTATTTCTGGGTGAATGTGTGTTTGATGGTTCATGTGGATAACCCTAGAATATTGAGAAACAATTTTTTTAAGTGGTAGAAGAGAGAGAGAGAGAGAGAGAGAGGGTTGTAATTGGGTAAATGTTGGCTGCAGCGGGTAGCGCAGGGGAAACGACGAGGGAGGAGGCGACAACGGGGAAGGGGAGGGGTTTTGTGGCTGGGAAAGGCAGGGGGTGGCAATAAAAGACCAGAAATGCAACCTGAGTGGAGATTGAGCCTCAAATTTTTTTCGAGAGGGAGACAGTTTTCGTGGTGGTGGGCTGAGGGGCGGCGGTTTCGGGAGGGTCGAGGTGGGGAGGGATGGCTGTTTCGGGGGGTTGGGCCTGCCGGAAGTGGCTGTTTCGAGGGTTGGGGTTCTGGAGGTGGTGACACGTGTCTGATAACATATTATAATTGGTTGGAACCAATAAAAGTAAATAAACCAAAAGTCGAGATTAAATAAACCAATTTTTCTATGAGAAAGGTAGAGGAGATATGAGATAGTGGGATACTTTTTTTATTATGAGAGGCAGGACAATTGTTTATCTGAAAGAAAAAAAGTGGACAAACCTTTAATTGTAGATATTAGCAATATTTGTTGGTCCAACCCTTTACTTCCTCCATTTTTTTACTTGACATGTTTAGATTTTAGCACTATTCACACAATTCCCTTTTACCGTCTTTTCTAATTTAAATGTAACGAAAAATATAGACATGTTGTGTTTTGTTAAAATTTTCTTGACATATATATTAAAAATATAAACTTATAATTTTTTTTCTTAACGATCATTAAAGATAATCATAGTTCAATATCTACATGAGAAAATGTGCCTGTAGAAATGTGTCGACTAAAAAGAAATGGAAGAAGTAAGGGACAACTTTTGCTTTTACAATAAAATTCCATTCTCTTGCTACATCTAAAATCATAAAGAATGTTAAAAGCATTACATAGATGGCTAAATGTGGAGGCTAACACACTATTGGATTATGCCATTCTGCAACACATTTTTTAAGATCAGACTAACATTCATTATGTTAAATCAGCTAATGAAGGCATTGAACATATGAATTAAATATACTAATTTATAAAACTATAGATTTAAACACTATTCTAACCTAGGTTGAACCACATCATTAAGTAACTTTAAAAAACCTGCTGTCTTCACATAAGATAGCAAGAAAATGCTAGTCAAAAGACAAAAGTATATTTGGTGCATAATCTAAAAAAACATTTTATAGAGCATTTGAATTTGCTAGTCAAAATACAGCACTGCTGTTGTCTAAACAAAGCCATAAAAATACCTTCACTGGCAAATTCTCATTGTAAGGATTCCTCAAATGCCGAGTTTTGTTGAAAGACAGCTCACACACCTGCCACGATGAAGCAAATAGTGTTATTAAATGTGTATATGGACCTTTAAAACAGTATAATTCATTTGGGAAAGTAAGAGAGCATCACATAAAGAGTTACAACAACAACAACAACTAGGGATGTCAATGGGGCGGGGCGGGGCAGGGCGGGGCGGATATTGGCTTTCCCATCCCCATCCCCACCTAACATTTTCACCCCCATCCCCGCGGCGGGTCCAAAATTCATCCCCATCAACAACGCCGTGTCCCAAAATGATTTGAAGTCAGGTAAAATGAATCAACATAAGGAACTGTCCATGAAAAATGAAACAAGAAAAATAAAAGAGTAAGTTAAAGAAACTAAACAACAATTAGTGAGAAAAAAAGGATGGTGTTAAGTGGAAACCCAATTAAAAAGGATCTGTAAACTTAATTTACTGCTAGGTCCAATGATAGTGACTCCTATTCTACTAGGAGCCTTTTATAATGTCTGTAAATGAGGCTCACGTGCCGGATGCATGCCCTCGTGCTCAACGCTCGTCACATGGACGTTCCACCTTTGAAGTGGTGAGTCTGAGTCGACAACAAGGGTTGCTGATTCACCAAACCCTAAAGCTTACTCATACCATCAAGAAAATACTGGCTACACCTCTTCTCAGCCCATTGCTCTAGGCTAGTGTGCCAATTGGTGACGGGCGGGCGAGGGGTGGCCTTTGGACACCAAGAAACTTGCCTAGGTTGTAAGACAGAACCCAAACTCCCTTCTTGGGGGATTTAAACACAAAGTTTATGGTTAACTGATAAACATAAACTACATGAGAGCCCATTGACAAATTAAAGCAGTCTTATGAAAAAAAATTCACATTTTTTCTTAGATTTCGCCCGTAAGCGCAGTACTTCTAGATACTGTATTTGAAGCAGTTGTTCGAACTCCGTTTCATTATATATCGACAATATCGTATATACAATTTTCATTTTAATGTAAATTTTCTCGTTTATTACGCTATTATGTACATGAAATATAGAGATCTCTATAAAAGAGCTCAGACGATTAATACCTACTTCGACTATGTATTTATAGATTAAGTACGTACTTTGGTAGTTATTCTACTTGTTCACCCTAAATTTTCCGTTCTAATAAGAAATTCTTTCAAACATCTACGTAGTGTTACAGGGTATTGTAAAAAAAAAATAGCCATTTCTTTCATTCTACTCCCGCCATCCCTAATCAATGGCACATAGTTCTAAGAAATATGTTGCTTGATCGTCTGAAACCCAAAACCATGGGCCCTTTCCATTTTTAGACATGGGCAATCAAATTTTAGAAAAATGAAAAAGGAAGTGAGCATACCAAGTCTGCGAAGTACATTGGTTTTATATGTTCTCATAAATAAATTCATATAGAAGCCAATTACAATGTCCATCAACTAAAAACCTTTTTAAAAAAAATAAAAAAATTGTGTTGACTTTAGCACTGTTCACATACTCTTCTTTGAATATTTTTGGTAAATTTTACACAAGGCAAATCATAATCAAGTGGGATATGTCTCAATGTATAATTGTTAAATATCAACTTTCCACATTTTTTACTGTCTTACTGATAATTATATAAATTAATGGTTGAAGTCATGTATTGACATGTGCGAAATTTAAAATGTTCCAACCTAAAAACAACGGAAGTATATACTAAATTATTCAACATTTGGCTCTTCACAAAAGAAGATAAAATTAAAATAATTGTAAATTGCAATTACAACTTATTTCATAATGAACATACCTTTAACCATTTGACTGAGAAATTTCTCCCATAATGCGCTGTCCCATGTGCATGCTTCCAGTTACCACCACTAGCAGTCTCACCAATTTTTGATGTCATCTTTGCACAGCCCTAGCCGTAGAAAATAAGCATTCTATCAGTGGTGCCTATAGACTTGGCAAACCCATCATCATCTAAATTGCCAGAAAGAATTATGAAACCCCACCTGAAAATGTCGAGTACGGTTAACAGAAAAAACTAAGATTACATGCTCAACAGTATCAAAAGCTTCATTCAATTTGGCTTCGTTGCTTCTTTGGGTAGCCCATACACCTTGTTGAACAGATAACTCCAAGTTTTCACGATTGCAGCTCTTCACAATAAAATACCTGTATTTCAACAAATCAAAATGAAGGAAGAATATCCAAGAAAGTTTTTTATAAAAATCCCCAATCAGAAAAATATATGAAATTGTTTGCAAAGAGTCAACTTGGTTTCAAAGGGATGAAACTGATATGACAAGCATGGCATCATTACATACATGATCTGGTAATTTTTATATACCCTTCCCTTTTGTTCCCAATTTTTCCCATTTTCCGCTTTACCCGCATTAAATATGCTAGGTTAAGAATCTGTGCTGCAAGATATAGTTTTTGGAAGACATGTGAAGCTAGATGGTTTGCATTGGTGCAGGTATATCAGAGCATGCGTTTATATTGAATGATCTAAATGAAATTTATTATAGCAGCTTTAGTGTGCCTGAATATCATCAAGTTCTTTCAAAGAGTAGATATTTGACAACAAAATCAACTCACATAGAAATGTAGCAAGTGAGTAAACTAAACAACAACAATACTCTACAACTACAACAACATTCCTGTTGATAGAGCAAGAGAACATCAATACAGCACATGAATTAAGGATTACAACAAAAAACAAATTTCCTTAACCATCCCATGAAACACTGAACAACACTAGAACATGGAACAAGTTGCTACCAGTTCCATATCCCCTACCCTCCTTGTCCTAAACCTCCATATAATGCAGCTGTATGCAAACTTCATCTGAATAGAACTTCTAATCTCCAAACAGAGTGGGTGCATAAGTTCAATACAACACTTTCTGTCAACAACTTCCGCTTTAACAATTTTAACAAGAAAAAAAAAAAAAGGGACCTTCACCTTCTCACATCCTAAATAGAATGTAGAACGGTCCAGCAAGTACATATTGTTAAGATAACACTGAATCTTCAATAACAATAGAGGTAAAAGATGAATAGACAAGGAACACTATACCCTAAGTGCCCCCATTAATTCAAAAGAACTGGTCCATGATGTATTTACAAAGACAAGCACAATGAATTCAGACAGAAAAACACTATTCCCTAAGTAATTCATGGTATTCAACGGTTAAGTTACTACATTGATGCGAAGGTAGTAATTTGTTTAAAAAGAATAAGTGTTTGCAAAACAAAACTAATTAAAATTAATATCAGTTTGTGGCTAAACGTTATTCTCTTTGGACCAAACTTTCAATGAAACAAGGTAATTGTAGCTTTCAAGGAGCCTGCCAACAGTAAATTGCAAAGTTCTCAATACACATACCTCCAACACCCCCCCCCCCGCACTTTATGATCCGGTGATAAGGTAAATAAGTGAAAAAAAAAAAAAAAAAAAAAAAAAAAAGGAGAAAATTCTAGTACAAATTACTCTCTCCTTATTTCTTATAAGGATCTTCAAATTACTGGTCCTCCATATTGACACATGAGCTTTGCCCCTTCCGAGTCCATTAAAATAACTCTTATCATTTATTGAAGTTTATAGAGAAATATACAATTATGGGGACATTAATATACCAATTAGTTTCACTTTCATCTAAAAAACCTAAAATAATTAGTGGTCCAATGCAATAACAAAGAGGAAAGTGTACCCCTTCTCTAACACCAATCAGTTCCTCATACAACAATATAAGTATGTTGGTCCGCAGAAGGTATCACACTTAAAGGAAACTAGGGATTTTTATATATCACAATAAGAAATTGTGGTCATTATACCAACACCCCTTGACCAAACAAAAATGCAGAAAGCCAAGATCTCTATAAAAAGAATAAAGTAGGTATCAACAATAAAGAATGAAACATATTTCACCATTCCTGTATAGCCACTGTAGAAATATTTTACATATATATATATATGTATATGTCTAGGTTTCAGATATACTTTTTATATGTGCAAAGGCAAAGATACAGCTTGTACAAGAATATTATCCCTGAAATAAAACATAATATACAATAATTTCAATCATAAACCTTATAGAAAACTTAAGCACTCTGGACACACCTAGTTATCCCTTGAGGAAGTGGAGTAGCTGTCCTGCCTGTTTGATTAGATGAATTACTGGGAAGATTTTGTATGTTGTCCTGACCAGCCAGATGAGGCTGCTGTAATTGTTGCTGTATGTTGGAAGACTCTGTTGCTATAGATTTTGGGACTGAACCTTGATTTGCAGTGTTAGCACCATGTGGAAACTGCGATCTGTCTGCTTGCTGAGAATAATTTGTATTCCGTTGTTGAGAAAATCTATTTGAGGCACCATAACTGTATGAGGTGAGTTGCTGGATCTTCTGAAGTACTTCGTCAACAGCAGGCGGAGGTCCAGGCTGCTTTGCATGTCGGTAACGACAGTCTGGCCCATTTGGACAGAAACCCAATTTGTACCTACAGTCAGTGATCCAACTTAAAATTAGAACCACAAATGCAGACTACCATTATACTAAAATACTCTTGCAATGCAATAATTTAACATCTAGTAAATGCCTATAAGAGCACTCTCAGTGATGGCCAAAAAAGTGCCCATGAGGAGATATAATGGTGGGGGGAAGAAAAAAAAAAGCAGCAACACTCATGGATGAAACAAGAAATGCCCATGAGAAATTTCCTAACGCCACAAGGAAATTCCAAATGCTACAGTACTTCGTTAACGGCCAATGGGCTGCTGAAATGTGGCAGCTCTGCCCCTCCACACACACACCCCCCCCCCCCCCCAAAAAAAAAAAAAAAAAAAAAAAAAGATCACGCAGGTTACATGGTAACGTTTACTATTAATTAATTATTAAAACTTAAAAAAAAAAAACCATCGATCATAAACTTTATTTTTAATTATAAATAGACACCCATTTTACCATATTTTGACATACTTTAAAAAATCTCTATTCTCTACGTAATTACTTTTTTTCCAATTCCACTTACTATTATTGTCATTATGATTAATAATTAACTTACTGTTACTATTATTAATATTACAAGCACTTAAACTATAATTTGATAAATGGAAAAAATAGCCAATGAGATTAAAAAAAAAATAATTGATTAAAAAAATAATCGAGAGTTTATCAAGTAAACTAATCTTAATAACCAAAAAAAATAAAGCAAGTAAACACAATAAACTTTTGATTGTAAAGTTTAGATATTTTAATAATATTTAAAACTTAAATAAATAGATTAACATTAAATGGTAGGAGTGAGAAAATATGGAGGGGTATAGTTATAATAGGAGAGAGTGGTGAGGAATTTTTTTTTTTCTTTTCTTTTTTTCTCTCTCACTGCTCTGCACCACCATTTACCTCTGATTTTCAGAAGCATAATCCATCTATAATCTAATCGCTAAGAGGTTTCAAAACAAAAAGGACGCTTTTTAGAATCATTTATACAATTATTAGCCTAACGCCTCAGACGAGACTCCAAAAGTGAGTAGGATAAAGAACAGTTTAAATGTGTGCAGCATAGCCTTATCCTAGCTACCACAGATGATGTTTTGTTGAGCCCATTTTATATAAACTACCAAATCACAATCAACGCAAAAAGGCAGCTTAGAACTCCTCTAACTATGTTGAAAATATACATGCCCCAAAACGACAAGTTAGAGATAAGGATATGATAGACCGTGATATCCACAGATTTCATTTTGTCACTTACCTCAATAATAAAAAGTAGAACAATAAGGAAAATTTGTCCAAAAGCACCATTCAATAAAATTAGTGAGAAATACCTTCTACACTACTGTAATATATTATTAAAATGTATTATCCAACAAGATTCAATTTTTCAACCGTAAAACCTTTTCTTATTCTTCTTGACCAAACCCTGCCCCTCTCCATCACCCCTACAGTCGCATTAGAAATATTTTGAAACCAATCATAAAGAAGTACCCTCTTTTGAAGAGATTCATAAGAGGCTTAGTGGCTACCATGCCATGCCTTAGAGTTTGCTTTACAAATTGAAGTCTTGAAGGGATGCTAATACACCTTGAAATGTCCAATATTTATAAGGGGAACTCTCATTAGTGGCCCTATGAAATTGCACTCAACATTTGGTAGCTAAGAAAGTTTACAAATCTAATAAATGGCCATATGCTTTGGCATTTTTGTATAAAGAATCATTAATAATGGTTTTTGGTTTAAAAAAAATTACATTATTATGGTTAACAAAAAAGAGAGTTTGGGTTAAATTTAAAGGAAAAGGAAATGAATAAAGATATGACTATGATATGAATCAATTAACCTACCCATAAAACAACCCAAACTATCAAACTCAATGTTACAAGTAACTCTAGATCTGGATCTACTATTATCTAATTCAACCTTCAAAGGAAGATTGGTATATAAATCCACCCTCTCTCACACACACCTTCATTCTTCATTGTTAAGCAAGATAGTTATATAAATCCCCCTCTCTCACACATATCTTCATTCTTCATTGTTAAGCAAGATAGGTATATAAATCCCCCTCTCTCACACACATCTGCATTCTTCGCGATTCAGCAAAATAGGTATATATCCCCCCTCTCACACACATCTTCATCCTTCACTGTTGAGCACGATAGGTATATCCCCCCTCTCTCACACACACATCTAGAGGCGACTAGATGAGATTGACTCACACGGTGGATGGTGGCAGTTATTGAGATGTGGCTTGGTGGTGAAATCAATGCCCTCGTGGTGGTGGTGGCTCCCTGGGTGAGTTGATTGCATAGCTGCTTAGTTGGTGATAGTTTGTTTTTCTTTTTCTTTTTTATTTTTACATTTTTGAAGCAATAAATATCAACAAATATTATCCACTAAAGTGATAAAATAACCAAATACACTCATTAATGCCACCCTTGAATAGAAATCAGAAATATTGGGTTATTCATGAAAATTGCAATTTCTTTTGGCAACCAAATAAAATGTAAAATGACACAAGATCACCGATGAAACCCCCCCCCCCTTTTCTCAATGGTAGGAAGTGAAGGAAAATATAGACACCAAATATGCTACTTAGTAGGGACTTTTTGCTACAAAAGTTAAAAATTGTAGATCGAAACTAAAGGCACTCTTTCACTCTTATGTTCCATGGCTTTTTATGTGTGGTTTAGAATTTTCATATAGTGAGATTAGTGAGATAAATATACATGCCTAAATTGTGGATGTGAATTTTAATCCTAGAAACCAAATTAATTTTAGTTCTAAAACATAGTATTTGTTGCATTAAAAATTTTAAAATTAAAAAAGAATGAAAAAACGATAGTATAAGCAACCTCTTATCCCATTGCATTTTTGTTGTAGTAGGATGCCAAGGTGTTCTTAGAGAAGGCAGAGTCGACACAAAGAAGCATGGTAAAGATGGGTTTGTCGGAGAAGAAGAGATGGATGACTTAAAGAAATGGTGATGTTAGAAGAGAGAAAATAAGTAAATGGGAGAACGGTATTCTGTTATTATGTAGCAAGCAAACACTTGGTTAGGTAAAGGTTTCATGTATCAATATTAGAGATCAGATATTAACCCCATACCTCATAACTTAAAGTTATTTGAGCAGCCCCTTAAGGTTGTGGTAACAACATAAATGAGCCCCTTATAACTTAGCCCTTGTGCTTAACATTCTTCAATAAAAGTATACGTCATTTTCTTTATAAGAAAAAGAGTAGGGCTACCCAATAGCAAAAGGGTCGGGCCTAATACTAAAGGATTTTGACCCTTTAACTTTTTAATGGACCGGGCTTTTAAAGGGTCTTATTTTATAGGACTTTTATAGGGTCTTATTTTATAGCCCAATAATTTAAGAATTAAAATAAAAAGCCCAATAATAATGGTAAGAGTCAGCCACCCAGCCCTACCTTCCATTTTCTCTATTTATCTATCATATTTATTTAAGTTCAATTTATAGGTGTTTGATCTTATAAATACCTTTTAAATTGTTGGACCGTCTTTAGCTCTTTACATACTAGCCACTCACTATGTACCATTGGTATACACTTCTTTTATTGCTCATTGAACTTCCTCTCCTAAATATTAGCTTACCGATTACCATTCTAAACAAAGGCTGTTATAGGCTGGAGAATACAATTATGAATTAAACAAAGTTTAGTCAGACTAAGTAACCGCTACGGTGCTACCTAGGTTTATATCAGAAAATACAATGTTCAATAAAACCCCTATTCTCCTTTCCATCACACAATCAATACTAAGGAAAATAATTAACAAGTATCTGAGCCATGGAGGATGTATACTAAGGATTTTTAAAATTAGGCCCCCAAAAAAAAGAATTTTATTAATTAAGATTTTTCTTGATAAAAATAAGTTAAGATAACATCTTATAGTTCCTCCGTTCCACAAATTGTGAGTCTAAGAGTAACATGGGCAAGGCATGCCTAGAAATTCTGATCCGGACAACTGCAACACCTTGGTCACTCTCAAAAACTTCTTCAATCTATTTCTGATGTGAAAAAGGAAAACCGGCTACACTATAACAGGCACAATCATCATAAATTTAAGTATGGAGTGGTTTAGTAATCTACTGGTATATATTAATTTAGGAGTCAGTTTTAAGATGAAAGCTCCAAAAGCCTAATCCACAAATTCTAACACTTTATCTTTTGAAAAATATCTCAATAACTACCTACACCAATAGCCTCGCCAATGCACTTCCGTATAATCCCGTGTGGACAGGTACACTCTAGTCTACTAAAATAAAGAAGACACATCAAATATAAGAATACATAAGGCGTTTTCTCACCGCATCTCCTATCCCAGCTGTTTCTTAACCCAAAAAAATCTAATTAATTTCTCTGAGCAAGTTCTGCTAAAGAATCAATAATTCACTAAATAGTATTTGGCAACACCTACCCGCTCACCTTATTTCTATTAGAAGTACAGCACAAACCCATATATCAATAACTACTGGCCTCAATATCACTTTTAATCATGTTAAACATGGCATTGTTAAAACATACTTCCATTCTCCTACTACAATTGCAGGCCAACCAATTCAACACTAACAACGGTCCGACAAGCTCGGCTATCAATCAATTGGAAAGCAATACAATTCAACACTAACACCGGTCCGACAAGCTCCACAATCAATCTACTGGAAAGCAATACAATTCAACACTAACAACGATCCGACAAGCTCAGCGATCAATCTACGGGAATGCAGTACAATTCATCACTAACAGCGGTCTGACAAGCTCAGCTATCAATCTACGGGAAAGCAATACAATTCAACATTAACAACGGTCGGACAAGCTCGGCTATCACTCTACGGGAAAGCAATACAATTAATAACTACTCACCTTAAAAACAAGTAAAATCACAAACAAACAAATTGATTAAAAAAAATTAGAGACATACATGTTGCACTCTTTAATATCTTCATTGGTGTGCTTGTAAACACAATCCTGCTCACGACACTCGCCATACAATCTGAAGAACCGGCAGACGGGCATCCGAGACTTGTCGTATTGGTGAAGGAAGCCGCAGGAATCCCCCTTCATACACAGGCTGCGAAGCCAATGGCGGCAAACGGTTTGCCGGAAGCTGCGCCGATTGCCTTGCCCTGAAGACTGGTCAGCAGGGGCAGAACCGCCAGTTGCGACGGCGGCTCCGGCGGAAGGGGCGGCATTTGGGTCAGGTTGGATGACGGGATTAGAGGCAGTAGGGATGTTAGGGATAGTGTCGAGGTTGCCTTCAAAATCGAAGCTCAAACTTCCATCAGTGTCTTCCATTGACGGTGTTTGGAGGTGTTATGGTAGATGGATTAGGGTTTTAGGGAAGCATTGGAATGGAATTGGAAGATGGTTTTTGTAGAAAGAGTGCGATTGATTTTTGGGAAATAGAGAATTCAAAGTGCCAAACAAAAAATCATATAGAAATATGTCAATTCGGATTATTTAGTTCGGGTTTGGGTCGAGTTAATGTGGAATCATGGATCGATTATTTATGGTTAAAGGATTTATCTATGCAAGTCGAGTTCAGGTTGGATCGTGTTTGGAGAGTTCAAATCTTGTCAAGCATGAGTTTAGTCCGGTTTTGGTCGAGTTTAGGTTATTTCAATTTCAAGTCGATTTAAGTGGGTTTGTCATGGTTTGTAATAGGAGATGTTTATATTTATGTAACTTGTAAGTTTAAGTAAGAAGATGAAGTGTTCATTTCCATCATCATCAAATAAAGTTAAACTGAGTAGTACACATTATATAAACATATGAAGTGTAATAAAAATAGTCTTTTCATCTCTCTAACTTAAAATATTGCTTAAATTAAACTAATATGTCATTTCATATCTCACAATATTCATGTATATATACCTAACTAAATTCCTTCATCTTCTTCCACAGTTCCACCCTCACTTTTTTTTTTTCCTTCAAGTTTTAGCAAATTAGCAGTAACCTTCATTCACCTTAATGGTCATGAAACAATTATTTCTTATTTATATCAAAAGTTCCAACTGTTGAAAAACATACATATTTCAGGTGTAGTTCCGGAGCCTGGCTGGTGGTCAGATCTGGACGTCGACTGGGATTACCTGCACAATGAGCGGTGGTTATGCTCTTGGGGGTGGCTTCGAGGAGCCTCCCTCCGATGCTTAAATTAGTATGATATTTGGGTGAATAATAATGGATAGGTGATGAAATGTGATTATCTAACCTCTTTTCCGCTGTACTTGGCTGCCTATTTATAGATGTACTATTCTTAATGCTACAGGCTAGGGCCTGCTGAGGTCAGCCGTGAGGTTGAGCCCCTGGGAGATTGTCCCTGACTCCAGGCTGGAGCCTGCTGGGGTCAGCCATGAAGCTGAGCCCTTAGGAGGTTATCCCTGGCTTGGGGTTGGACTGGCGTGAGCGCGCACTTCTCAAGTGGTGCTAGGAGCGCGAGTTTGCTCTGCGGGAGCTACCCTATACAACTAGCCCCTCGAGAGGTGGTTTGAGGCACTCAAGCCAGCTCTTGCTGACTAGAGATTCTATTCTGATCTAAGGTTCGAAACATGGGGAGAGCTCCGTTAGAGCTACCCCATACAACTAGCCCCAAAGAGGTGGTATAAGGGACCCGAGCCAGCTTTTTCAAGTGTTTGGCCCTTGCTAGTTCATTACTTGACTGGATTGGTTGACCGAGATCGTCCTCATACCACTAGCCCCCCTGAGTCTCGCATCTGCACTTGTAGACACCTAAAAATGTCTCCTCAAAACCTAACCTGAGAATGAACAACCTTTCACCGCCATTAATGGTCGGGTCAAGTATTTAATCTCAGGAGTGCTTAAAATCCACATTTAGTCACACACAACTTACAAATCAGTCAACAAATCAGTCTAAGTGTTTAGTCAAAGCATTATCCAACCACCATGTTAGCCCAAACCCTTCATAATTCATTTCGTTTTATTTATTAATTAAGCCCGATTAATAAATAATAAAACCCTAAGCCTGAAATAAGTCTAGAATAGCTGAAACGCCGCCTATTATCACGTGCTTAATGCTTAAGAAAAGGTTAAAATGAATTTGGACGGATTTCTGGAAGGCAGATTTGCCGTGTCACGGCAGAAATGTCGCGCCACGGCAATTCCTTGTTGGGTTTCATAGTGTCCGACATTATGCGGAGTGAAACCCGACCAAGCACACTAATTAATGTAACTAAACATGCAATCACATAATTAAACAACAAAAGAGAGAAAGAGAAAAGACGATTTTAGCCTCGACGCGTACTTTGCTCGCTTACGAGCTCTTACTTGAAAAGCTCTAGCTTCGCAAGTGCGTAAGCCTCCGACGACTCGCACCCTCAACTCGACCCGAGCGGTATCTACCCCGAAGGTTAGTCGGGGCTAGACCTAGGAAATACTAGAGTATTACAAACTTAAAGGTTTTCTCACTTGTAAGGAGATGCCTTATTGAGTTCAACTCAAGCGCTTCTTCCCAAACCCAAAACATGGGTATTTATAGGAAAGGAAGTCTTGATTTCCCATCTCCCTTCAATGTGAGAGAATTGTATTTTGCTCAATTTATTTTAATCCAAAAACAAATTAAAATGCAAATGAATCAACAAGTGCGAAGTGGCAAATGGTGAGCAAGGGTAGGTAAGGACCACTAAGGAGGGGGGGACCAAACACAACTTGCTCCCCAAGGAAACCACCAAGACCGGTCTTCCTTTGACCGAAAGCTGACCCACGCATGGCTGGCCGTAATCTTTCCTTGGTTGCCAGGCTGGCGCCTAGCACCAAGGCTAGGCTAGCAGGCCAGCCTGCCTTCGCATGCGCGCAACAACCAAGCCACGCACGCAATGCGGGCTGCTGCTGCGGCGATGCGTGTGCAGTGTTGTACGAGTGCTGGGTGATTCCCAACTGTTGTGTGCTGCGAGTGGCTGGGTGCGGGGCCTAGCATGCTAGCACGCCTAGCGCGCCAGCAATGCTGGCCATGCCGCACCAGCTAGCTAGCCAGCATTGCTAGCTTGCGATGCTAGCATGCATGTGCTGCTAGCAAGCTCGCCATGGTGTGAGGCCTAGCACGCTAGCATGCGCCAGCTGCTAGCATCATGCAACAAGGTGCACCAGCCCCCGCTACCATGCTCGTCCAGCAAGCCTAGCACGCATATGCATGCTTGGCTTGTGGCATGCCTTGCGATGCGGTTGGTAGCTTAGGCTAGCCTAACACTTGCATGGCTAGGCCAATGCAAGGCTACGGCCTAGCTCGAATTTGTCACTTGCTTGATTTCTCGTCTCGTCGAGTTCTAAATTCGACTCGACTTACGACGCTCGGTTTTGATGCTCTAAGCTCGATATCCTTGCGATGCGGTTGGTAGCTTAGGTTAGCCTAACACTTGCATGGCTATGCCAATGCAAGGCTACGGCCTAGCTCGAATTTGTCACTTGCTTGATTTCTCGTCTCGTCGAGTTCTAAATTCGACTCGACTTACGACGCTCGGTTTTGATGCTCTAAGCTCGATATCCGACGTCTTTGTTCGTAATACTCTAATGACTCATTTAATCCTTCGGATTGATTCGTCGTCTTGGATTAGTTACTCAATTGGGGTGCGACCCGAAGGGTTCAGTCAAGATTAAGTTGTAATATTAATTATACATTAATATTAATTTTTGGAAGCGGCCTCGACCTAGGCATTCTGATCCCTTGACCTCGCTAAATACTTAGCTTTCTAATAATTTCGAACCCTCTATCGGAATAATACATTTGTTGGAAGGACACCATTCCTTTCAATCTCCCACTTGTCCTTCCGGACAAGTGTGCAGTTAGTGTACAGCCCATTTCCTTTGTCACTTAATGTCTCTTCATGAACTATAAGGTAAGATTCTTTGTCATCCATTATACGACCAAAAGTGTTTATCGATTCCCGAGTTCGACTGTCAATAAGCAGATGATTTCTAAAATCCATCTGAGCACAACCATGCATTTTTACATTCTCGCTCTTCGAGAGGCCTTGTAAACAAGAAAGACATATTCCATATTGTTAATAGGGGGACATTCCCAGTCTTGTATTGTTAGCTTCCCTTACTAAGAGGACCTAACCGGCCGAGTGTTGCTGTTATAATCCCCATTTACGGCAGACATTTGACAACATCAAAACGGACTAGTACTCAAACAAGAGAACTTATAATACTCATGGCCGAGGAAAAAGGTTCCAATAGCTATAATGAGAAACATATTGATGACGATTTTATATCTCTTAAAGTATTCTCATAGGTCGATCCGGTACAGTTCTAAACTAGTACCTGTGCAAATGATTTATGAAAATCATGTCCTTGTAGCACAAGAAAGGGTGCTATAAATCATAATACACACTAATCTCAAGTGGTCATTTATCGTCCATCGTTTAAATGACCTTGATTATGGATAATTTTCGATTAAAATATTTAATGTTCATTTAGCAGGTATTTCTTTATCCAAGACATGGTCTTGATACCCTGTTTTGAATATTCTCAGTAATCGAATGGACTCATTATTTAATTCTAAACCATAATTAAAAAGAAATGGAGTAATTAATAAATTTGCAAAAAATTTAATTGCTCCAAAATCGAATGGTGTAACATAGTGTTTTACATTAAGACATCAAGTTTAATTAAAACACATATACAGGGAAATCAAAGCCAATCTCCAACATGCTTGATTCCCATTGCCTTAACGTGCTTGTTGTGCTTCACTTGAGGCAAAGGTTTAGTGAGTGGATCGGCTACATGGTCGTCCATTCCAATATTACAAATTCTGATTTCACCCTCGGACTTTCATTCCCTTATCATGTGAAATCGCCTCTTAACATGTTTGACCTTCTAATGTTCCCTTGGCTCCTGGCCTGAGCAATAGCTCAATTGTTATCACAATAGAGGTCTATCGGACCCTTGATTGAGGGTACAACATCAAGTTCACCAATGAACTTATGAATCCAAACTGCCTTTTTAGCTGCTTTTGAAGCGGCCAAGTATTCGGCTTCAGTTGTAGAATATGCAGTTGTGCTTTGCTTAGCACTCTTCCAACTAAACGCTCCTCCATTTAGGCAGAATATGTACCCTGACTGTGAATTGGAGTTGTCTTTGTCAGTCTGGAAGCTCGTGTCGGTATAACCTTCAACAACTAAATTATTACTCCCACCATAGTCCAGAAATTTATCCTTGTTCCTTTTCAGGTACTTTAGGATATTCTTGGCTGCAGTGCATTGCGCATCTCCTAAGTCTGATTGGTATTGGCTCATAGCACTCAAGGCATACAATACATCCGGCCTAGTACAAATCATGGCATACATGATCGATCCAATAAGTGAAGCATATGGAATCTGATCCATCCTCTCTCGCTCATCAGGTGGTTGTGGACACTGCTTCTTGCTGAGAGTTATAAAAGGAATAGTGTCCTTAAAACAAGTGTAT